AATCATCGAACGGTTGTTTTACTGCCCCGAAATTATGCCGCTGTATAATCCAGCCGCTTGATGATGATTCTTTAATCAAATTGATAGTGCCGTCGGCCTGGTAATCGCGAGTTTCAAAAGCCATTTTGCGTATGGGATATGTGTTTCAGTCAGAAAATGATTATTTATTAAGTTCCAAAGAAAATACAATGTTTTGTAATTTTGTACAAAATTAATTTTAATAATTTAAACGTCGTTCAATGAAGAAAGAATCCCCTGAAACGGGGGAGGTCTTTTAGAAAATCAACGAAAAAGCGAATACGTATGTTCTGGAGTATGGTAAAAGCCATGGTAAACGCTTAACGGCTTAATAATTGCATGCGCCGTTCTCTGTGTTCTCGGGTGGGCCCACGGGAATCCGTTTTACATGGTGCCGCATAATTACTATGATCCTGCGCTTCACGGTGCTCCAGTTCTCCGCGAAGTAGAGTCAGGCGGATTCACGTGGCTTCTGACAGAAAGCAGCTCAAAATGCGCTGCCGCCAAAGAAAACCTACAATCAACGCGTCAAAAAGCAGAACTTTCACCTAACGAACGTTGTTCAGTATCTCAGCTTTGTGCCACGCTCGCTGGATCGGCTTCTACGAATCGTGTTCGAAACAATGTAAAATTTTATTCTTTTCCATCCATATGGTTAGACAATTTCATTTAATTTTTGTTTCTAAGATTCATGAAAGCTGATATATTCACAGAGTGCACGAATTAACTTACACACGTCACCTTCCACTAAGGAAACTTCAATGTAACGAGTAGAACTTTCCTCGAAAGTTTCCTCTCTATGGTGCCCTGGGAGCTATTAAAGGACACAAAGTTTTTAGACAAATGTTTTATAGCTTCCTAAGTAAATTAACAGCACTGGTGTAGGTGAGAAACTTAAACAGTTACTTGCATTACTTTTCTCATAAATACTTCATAAAATGAAATTAAATATGTTTATTGCCATAAGAAAAAAGAATATTACAAGACTCAATTTTATAATAAACTGAACGAAGTGCGAATGGGTTCGTACTAGAGATTCTGTTCACCTCGCTTAGATGCCATAATTAACTCGATAACGATGACATTATTGCCGGGCAGTGTCCTTCTTGCCAGAGGCTCGGCTATTAAAGCTCGCGGATCTCTAGCCAGCATCTCGCTCGACTATTTCTCAGCATCGTACCGTTACCCGCTTGAGATTCACGCGCTCGTATGCGCGTGTAATCGCGCGGATGCAGATGCAGCACGCACGCACCGGCCTGCTCCCGTAATCCTTTCTTGACGCCTGTAATGGCCGGAATTGTGAATTCAATTGCCTCTGAATTGGATGCAGTCGCGAAAGAGGCTGACCATCGGCTCGGAGCACGTACGTGGACATAAAGCGTGAAAAGCGGCCACGACGCGGGTGCATCCGTCAGTCAGCCAACGAGCGAGCGGACAAAGGAGAATTGCACTCGTGATCGTCGCTAGAGTGGAAAGATCTTCCGAGTAGGTGACGACACGCTGCCGCCCGCTCGAGCACACTCGACGATCGCTTTAAACGGAAAGGAACTCGAGTGGAATCGCGCTTGGACTCGAGCTTGCGAGCTTCGACGACGATCGAACGCTGCCGGAACTGTTGATCTCCCTTGAAAATGTATTAGCAAAGAAATACACCGTGGACTGCAATTACCGATGAAAGCCAAGGAAATTGTATGGCTTAAAGTAAAATGAAAATCAAATATGTACAGAATGTCTGAAAGAATCAATCTACGTAAAGAAAATTGCAAAAATCGGTTTATAAGAAAAGTGCATGTGCATCGGGTAAGTGCATCGCTGCACCTGATTTGAGATATCTCCTAAACTATTCTGTTTTCAACATTTTACCCTAATACTTTTTTATAGAGAACGTCTAAAAGAATCGATCTACGTAAAGAAAAGCACAAAAATCGATTTTTAAAAAAAGTGCATGTGCATCGGGCAAGTACATCCTTACACTTGATTTGAGATATCTCCTAAACTATTCTGTTTTCAACATTTTACCCTAATACTTTTTTATAGAGAACGTCTAAAAGAATCGATCTACGTAAAGAAAAGCACAAAAATCGATTTTTAAAAAAAGTGCATGTGCATCGGGCAAGTGCATCCTTACACTTGATTTGAGATATCTCCTAAACTATTCTGTTTTCAACATTTTACCCTAATACTTTTTTATAGAGAATGTCTAAAAGAATCGATCTACGTAAAAAAAAGTACAAAAATTCGTTTTTGAAATAAGTGCATGTGCATCGATAAGTGCATTCCTAAACTTGATTTGAGATATCTCCTATATAGCAAAATTGCATTGGAGCAAACTACATTTGACATCAGCATTACAAGATATAAAATCCTTCACTGTCACAGGCAATTATAAAGCACGATGTAAAGCAACTTATGCGATTCCTCTTGCGAAGACTTACAAACGTCGAAACGACTTGTTCCAATCCTGTGATCAATACGAGACATCAACTGGAATGATGGAAAGACAGAAAAGCTCGATGATCAGGCTGCGTTTATTATCAGTGCCATTTTGTTTCTATCCAGAGGAGATAAATTATGAAAGATAACGTGACATAACATAGGCACGTAGTTGCAGGCTGACATCGTGAGCTCGTCGTTTTTCAGGCCGAGACGCGCGTACCGCCCACTGCGAGACAAAAAGAACCTTTTTCGTTTGATGAAACGGGTAGAACAAAACTACTTTCACAGAGAATCTCAGTCTTAAATGTGTCTCGTTTATTTAATGGCGACACTGATTCGCCTATTCACGCTTCGATCATCTAAGAAGAGTGAAACCTCCTTTCGCGAGAAGCTGCTAATCAAGAAATTTCTTAAACGTAGTTTTATAGCCTTTATTGCAATTCTATACATTTGTTGCTTTTGTTATTTGTGCAGTATACATAAAAAGTTCTTAATTAAAAAAGGTGAACTATCTAAAAAAATCAATGTTGGATTAAGGAGACAGGTTGAGGATCGCTGGTTCCTTATGTCCTTACTTCTTAACTGGAAGATCTGCGAAGAGGCGTCACGGGGATGTCGTTGAGCGAGCTGTCCTCTCGTCTTTCAGCCACTCCCATTTTCAGCTACCGAGTTACTGCCACTCTGTCAATCTCACCTGACGTTCCCGTCCAAACGAAGATACACTACTGGCCATGAATAAACCAGCGAGGTTGTTCACGTTGTCACCAAGAGGAAAAGTTGCATCGTTTCTATCCCGTGAAATAGCGAACGCGATCTGCCTTGAAAATTGCTTCGAAGAATCTTCCAAGTGAAAGGTGACGTTACTAATGATCACATTCCTGATGGACAAATATTTAGTAATCTTCACTTCCAATATTGGCTCCTTTCATCTGGAGCTGATCAATTGTCCCAACACCATCGTAAATAATACTATTCCTGGAATGCGATACTCCAGAGCTCTGCAAGTCAATTGTCAAGATGCAAGAAATCAGGACAAAGGGATTCCATCCGTTGATTTTCCAGCTCTAAGCGAGTTACCAGGTTGGCCGACTGGATGGAAGGTCGTCCCCAAGGCATTTCATTTGAATAAGACAAATGAAGACATCCGGGAGGCACACGGCGAGAACGATGAAGCTGATAGCCGAGATTGGGGCGAGGATCACCAACGGCGTGCTCGAGCATCGAACCGTGCCGATTGATTACGATCGTTACCAAGACAATGCCCCGACACAGGCTTACTCTAACGACGCGGTTCTGACTTAGGCATCGAGGATTACTTCGGATAGCCTACGCGACGGTTAACAAGCTCCGTAGATCGAGTTTTGTTCGTTGAAAGCCGATCCTCCGGCTACTGCCCACGTCTCGACGTCTTTGGCATTTTTCGACCAAGCGAATCGCCGCTTTATCATGCAAATCGCGTCTGGTAAATGGAAAATCACCGACGGTGGCCGCTTCGGAATACTACCATGTCACGCGACAGTGTGGATTCAGAAAACAATTACTAGGATTTTTAATTTACTAAAAGAGAAAGCGAGAAAATCATCGTACAGCGTCGAGGAACAGCAATTTTCATGAAAGTTACATTTTTTTTTTAAATGATATAATTTTCATCCAGGCTTCATAGTTACTCGAACAAGGTTGCCACAGCATTATTATCGTTAGACAGGTAGTTGATAAGTGGACCAACAAGAGCGAAGATGCTTGCTCAATTTGTCTGGTGGGCGAATAACGTGTTAACGGGCTAGAAAGTGGCTGCAGGTGCTTGCTTTCGTGACTCGACGCGTTAGCAGCGTGGTTACGCTTCCCTATACTGATCATCCTACGAAAGACTGTTTTCTCGTCAGCCGTACGAAAATGTGTGTAATCGAGCAAGCTTGTTTAAAAGGATCGAGGAACGCTTCTCTCTGAATAGTAGATCGCTTCTCGGCTGAAACTTTCTATCAGAATGATCCGGATCGAAGTTAGAGAGCGGAACGTGTTATCAAAGAGATCCTTTGTGAAACAAGGGATGAAAGATTTAAGCATAAAGTGGCTGCAACGAGTACCATTTAACTGCGGTTGCTTCCAGATATTAATAATCCTTTTGTTTTTTCATTTAACACCTGATATGAATTTTATACAAACGTTCGCAAATAAAATAAACGACGGGCCAATCAATAATTTCGTTTGCAGTATACTTTTCTATACAAATTTAATTCACTTTAAATTGAAAATTATATATTTTCCAAATAATATTCTGTCTTGCTACAATATAAGATTTCTCGTACACGCCGGAACGTGGCAGAGTATCGAACGTACATACATCAAGAGGAAAGAAGATTTGTCCGTCAGAGAATCGTATTCGATACGTTTCAGACGCACCGTGAATGAATCATGTTTCCGATTGTTGCCGGTATAAACCGTATCGAAGCCACCCCCGCGAGCGTGTACTCGAGCGGGTGAAACGCGCGACGGCGGTGGCGGCGGTGGTGGTGGTGGGTGTCGGTAAGGGATGGGGGTAACAGAATTTCTGCGCAACTCCGAGCATTTCCCCTGTCCCTCGCCATCTGCTGGAAGCTGCACGAGTGAGGAGATGTATTGAACAGGCTGAGTGCGCGTGCAGAGATGCGCGAGTATCCGCGAATTCCCGGCAGCACGGGGCCGCAGTCCGCACAATAAAGAAAAAAATTGCACGGAGTTAGGGGAACGGAGAGGCGAGCAGCCAGACGGAGACAGAGAGACCGTCCTAATCCTCCTGGACGCCGAAGAGGCAGACTCGATTAATAGTCACGGTCGCGAGAGAAACGACGTCGTCCTCGCCGGTAACCCGGGATGAGAGTGACGTTGGTACTTTAAGCCGAGAGCTTCCGGAACGGTGGACGTCGATGGGCCACCGTAGTCTGGTGAAACGTTTCGTTTGATCGACTTTGAAATAATCGTCGGTCATGTAAACGGCGTGCTCGCGTTTTAACTGGAGGTCCGTTCTTCGAACTGGGATAAGCGATAACGAGGATGAGACCTAGTGCGGTTCTTCTGTTGCTCTTCCTGTGCACCTTCTACCTGGCTACCGAGTCGAAGCTACATCAACAGGCGGCCGTAGACGAGGATGACGACGACGACGACGATTGGGACGACGACGAGGACGAGGAGGACGACGACGAGGACAGCGATCAGTCTTATCCGTCCAAGACAGAGGTGGACGACGATGGTCGGATCTACAAGAACCCGAGGAATTCGCCGTCGGCGATGTGTCCCAGGGACGAGAAGCAAGCGGGTCTCCTCGGTCAGAAGTGTCTGAGAAAGTGCTCCACCGACGAGGACTGCAAGAGCAAGAAGAAAAAGTGCAGATGCGACGGTGCCTGCGGGATGTCTTGCATCAAACCGGAGAGGGAATGTCCGGCTCTCCCCGAGATCCAACACGGCGTGATGACAGTGACCGGCAGATTTTTCGGCGATCGTGCCCATTACACCTGCGATCCTGATTACTTTACCGTCGGCCTGACCGAAATAACGTGCCGAGCCGACGGCCACTGGACCGGCACTACGCCATCCTGTAAAAAGGATCCAAGCTCCTTTTGTTCTCAACCACCGAAAGTGAAGAACGCCCGGCACAACGCTCTCGTCGAACAGACGACCTTTGATCTCGACAGCGTCGTACAATACTTTTGCGATCATGGATACGTAACCACGGGTGTTAAGGAAGCGAAATGCCTGTTGATGGAAGGTATAGCTAGCTGGTTCGGTCCTGATATCACATGCGAACCACAAACCTGTGGTCCACCGGCGGACATCTCCAACGGTTGGCACGCTGGTATGTATTTCTTCTGGAGGATTATGTTTCTGAATGTTTAATAAGAAGTTATAGTTGAAATAGGAAGATGATGAATATAAATGTATCTTCAATCTCACCTATCTTTATTAAAATCTGTCCTAACTTATCCTATTCTGAAAGATTCTAAAATTGTAATATTTGCAAAGAATATTTAATACATTCATACAAGGATATGTAGGGAATTAAACGTGTCTACGCGTCGTGAACCATGATGGTCGCTGGTCACCGTGTTCAAATTTAATTAACACTTTGAACGGGGAGTTAGTTTCATGTAACTTGCCCGCGGTACCAAAATGAGATTTTTCTTGCGCGATAAATATTAAATTAATACAGAAGCACGTAAAATTATTTTCATTTGTTTTTAATTTTCAAGGCGAGTGTTACACGTTTGATTGTCGCGTGTCGTATCATTGCGCGGACGGCTACGAATTGGTCGGCAAAGCTGAGAAGTTGTGTTTGGCTGACGGCACATGGACCCCGAAAGAAACGCCACAATGCGTCCAAGTAAGCGGCACGTAAACATTCCTCCGTTTGTTCACCCCTTTTCTTCCTCGGTTTCCGCGGACACGCCGACCAGGAAACGTTTTCTGTTCAGGTTACGACGGTGCAATGCCCGAAACCGGAGAACCCGGTCGACGGGAAGGCTGTGTACACATCGTATGCATACAATTCGATCGTGTCGTACGAGTGCAATTACGGGTACACGGTGGTTGGCGCGGCGACAAGACGGTGCGGGGCTGATAGAAAATGGACTGGAAAGACACCTACCTGTCAGGAGATTGATTGCGGTTCACCTGGTGTTCTGTACAACGGTTGGATTGAGAATATCGAGGCGGGTGAGTTGGGGAAGGAGTGGAAAAAATAACGCGTTATAAATAAATTCGGAGCGGTATAAATAAATCGTAGTACATGCAGAAAATTACGTGTATTTAATTCTGCAATGATTTTTCAATTTTCATTTCAAAAAATGGCCCCACCAATAAATCCCAAGTCTAATAAAACCACATTATTCTACACTTTTAAATAGCTCTTTCTTCACTAGGCACCGGTCTAGGCGCGAGCATAATTTTCCGCTGCAAAGACCACATGAAGCTCGAAGGGAATACGTCATCCGTCTGCCAGATCGACGGGACGTGGCGTTATCCGTTGCCGCAGTGTCTCGCACCGTGCGTGGTGCCGCAGATAGAGAACGGTCACATAACCGTGGCGAGCAACGATCACATCAACAACGTGACCGTGGTGGAGCACGGGGAGAGATTGCTGGTCTCGTGCGTGCAGAATTATGAATTCGCGGCTAACAGCACACCGGTGATGTGTAACAACGGCACGTGGTCGATAGTGCCGAGTTGTTCCCCGGCCAGGTGCAAGCTGATGCCGAAACCGCCGAAAAATGGTATGGTGATCGCGCCTAAAACCGACCACGGCATGAAGGCGGTATTCAAATGCAAGGACGGCTTCGAGCTGATCGGCGGAGGGCCGTTAAACGCCTCGTTGTCGGTCGAGTGCCAATATGGAAATTGGATCGGCGACATACCGCACTGCGGGCAAGTGTTCTGCCCGTTTCCGGGCTTCATCGAGAACGGAAAGGTGTTCCTCATGGGGAACATGGGCGTCTACGATTACAGGCCGTACGTTAAGAAGGTTGTGAACAATAAACAGATCATGTACGATTGCGACAAAGGATACGTGCTGAACGAAGGACCCACCGGAGCTACTTGCATCGGAGGAAACTGGAGTCCGAGGGAACTGCCCAAGTGTATACCTGGACAACATCCCAGGCTGAGATGGAGCAGACGCAGGAGATCCGTCAGTGAAGAAGATCTTACCATGAGCTATAGGTAAGTGACGAGTATTTTTAGAAATAATCATTTTGCAAAAGATTATCAAATTATTAATAATTTGAATAGCGTTCGCTTTGATTGAAAATTGAAATTTCTTTTGTGGAAAACAATGGCTATATTAATGTCCATCGGTGCGACTTTTCAACTCAGTTTAATTCTCTGAAATGTATGCTCGCTCTTCGTATCAATAGAAGAGAAATTACCTAATTTTCCAGGAAATTCATCGAGTTCTTCCGTAAGATCGGCAAGAAACTGCTGCACCTGGAGATGAACAAGGGGAAAGATCACTCTAAACACAAATCGGACGCGAAAAACTCGAACGCGACTCATCACGACAACAGCACGGAAAGTTTATCCTGGAAGAAGCACGCTGGACACGGGAACAGGTCTCGGCTGCGCGAGGAGAAGATGATCGACTTCCTGAAACTAGTCTATCGGAAGCTTCAACGAATCGACGCAAGACAATCGAACAATTCCACGAACGGTAGCATGCACGATCTTCTGAACGCGATGTCTAAGAACTTCTTTCACGTGGACCTGTCGGAATCCCGTAGGAACGGGACAGGAGGCAGAGGACGTTCGGAGTTCGAGATCAGGAATCAGAGAGAATTCATCAAGTTGAAGCGAGAATTCGAGAGAATCATGCGTTTCTACAATAAATCGATGCGATGGAACGAGAAGCAGAATCGCAAGGAGTCGAAGAAGAAGGGCCAGTCTCACGGTGAAAAAGGAAAGAAATCAAAGGAGAAGAAGAAACACAGGAAGAACTATTACAAAGGATTCTACGAGTTCGTCAACAGTTACGTAACCGAGAAACTATCGATGTTGGAAGCACGAAACGCGACCGAAGAGTTGATCAAAAACATGAAGATCGATAAGTTCACCGTGAAAAATGGCACCACGTTCACCGTGGGCGAGATGTACGCGTTCTTCAAACATATCATAGAGGCTAAACTGAACGCGAGCGAGGAGACAACGCCGACCGAGACGTCTTCGACCCCGTTCCCCTCGTCCACGACGGCCTTCGTCGTCAGCACGACTATCTCGAGCGTGTCGACGAGCGACGGCAACACGACCACCACGTTACCAACCCCGAAAGAGATCGAATCCCACGATAATCGATCCTCGACGATCGCCAGTAACGAGTCCTCCGTCCTGGACAACGAGATACCCGCCAAAGAAGGTGTGCCAAAGCACCGCAGCAAACGAATACGAAACGCATCCGAGGACGCTGGCCCTCCGCGACAGAAGAGGAGGCTGCTGTCGTTGATCGGTAACAAGAACAACGATGGATCATCGTGGCACCGGGTCTCGAAGAGATCGTACGCCTACGACGACGAGAAGACCAGGCTGTTCACGTTCAGGGAACTCGAGGCTCAACAGCAGAGCCGTTCGAAAAGATTTCTACCATTGTACGAGCTGGATAATCAAATATTTCTGAAGAACTTGTATCTGAACGCGTACGAGGACGGGTATCGAACGAACGTGAAACGATCGATCGTTTTAGGAAATCGTACGAACGAGCCGATCGTTTACAGGCGGCGCAAAGGGAACCTGGTCGATTACGAGATCAAGTGAATCGAGATCTTTAGTTCACTTTTTTCTTTCTTTCTTTCTTCCAATTCCTCGTTTTTCTTTGTGTTGTGGTACCGATCGGAATTCGACGAGGTCATTTAAACGATATCAAAGTCGATTTTTAGGCGAGTATACAGCACATATACGGATAGATTGTAATCGTTGTCCCTGGTCGATGCGCATTGTAAGACGTGTATCGCGCTTTTTTCATCAATAAATCCATTTTTCCATTGCGAGTCTCTCGGTGTACCCGATTTAAACACGGGATTCATTATTCGACAATTTATCGACGCGATGTGAGCTTGATAGATCGGCCCACCAGTCCCTGTTCTTCTTCTATGATATTCTCTTTCGTTCAACCCTCGTCGTGTCGTTTTAGCTGGGAGAGCAGTGAGTTGTGACAAATCCTGGGCAGTCGAAATTAATTTTCGTGGTGATCGAGGTCATTAAATTTTAAGACTGATCTGCTTTAAATTTTAATATCTGTGATTTGGTTTGTGGAAAATTTTTAAGTTTCTTCTAAGAAATTTAAGTGAAAGTGTTTCTTTCTTTCTTCCTGATTCTTAATCAAATATCACAATGATAGTTGATAGTTAATATATACGAGTGAAAAATCAAAGGAACGAACGTATCGACTGCAAAAGAGGTGAAGGTACTTTAGGTATCTAGAAGGTAAACCTAGAGATCAATCGCATCGATGAGTACGCCTTTCTTCTTTTTAAAAATGTAGTTAGCTCACATCGCAAAGTATTTTAAGCTCTTCGAAAAATCCTATTAGTAGAGGATACGTTAACGTATTTTAAGTATCACAAGTGGGAGTATCGTGTCCAAACACAGTTTTGGAACTCGTTCAAGCAAAACGATCTTCCGTTGATAATTAAGTTTTTCAATGAACTCGCGAGGCTGTGTTTGTTAAATCATTGTATCGATTAAAAAAAGAATAGGTTTTTTAACTGTTATCGAAAGCATTGTAACGTTGCGACGTTGTACATACGTTAATTTAACGTGTTTCTCTTCGGTTTGATACCAAGATGAAGAAAAAAAAAAATATACGGTCGTATCAATATTCCCGTCCTTGTCTATTCGTAATTAACTTTTACTTGCAAACATTTAAGGTTCAAAGAATACGTTTGAACCATATGTATCGATCTATCGGTCGATCGATCTATCAAACATCAGACACATTATCGAGCACACCATACACACACACACGTACACATGAACCACTCTTAAACACTGGTGCATTTTTATGAACAACAAATCATGGACAAGTATCATTAGTGAATAATAAGTATTATGATACGAACAATATTAACAAGGTGTATGTCAATTTCCCGAATCAATCACGTTTTCATTTTCCAGTAATAGATTCGGTAAATTTTAATTAATTGTTATTCTAATTTTAATTTTTTGTCAATTAATTTTTATGCAAAGAAGAAGACGTCTAGAGAAGAATTGATCAAGCCGTCTATTTTATCTCAAGACGTCAGTTTGTTTCTGCTGAAAATCGACGAAAAAAAATTGATCTAGAAGAAGCCTCCGTATAAAAACAAAAATTGATCGAGCCATCTATCTCAGAAATAACTCTGTCCACTCCATAAACCAGCTACCTCTCCAAACAACCGTAGAATTCCTGGAATCGTTTTAAAATCTACCCGTTTCTAACCTACACCATAAAACCATCAAGATCTCCAATCTCAGCAAACAGCTCCTTGCAAACGTCAAGCCATTTTATTCGAAATAAATAAAAAAAAAAATCATCCAAAATAAATACGAAAAAAAGAAGAAGGCGAATTCGTCCTGAAGAAGATCCTCCAATTAAGTCCTCAGGATCGAACGCATAAACGGAAGCCATAAACGGAGGATATTTTAGTGTTCCATTCGCCGGCAATTTCGTTTCGCCACGTTCCTCGGGGATAATTTCGCGACCATAATCTCGATCGGTGAACCGCGAACGAAAGCAGGTAGCGAATGTTTGGCGGAGGTACTTGTTCACCTCGTAAACGTACCTCTCACGGCTGCCGTTGCTGTTCGATATCTCAGGATCGATACGTTGCGAACGATTGCCGATTATGCCGTAACATCGCAGGTAATTAAGCCCCGAAAATAATCGAGTCGCTTCGAAAGTCGGATCAAGGGATGAGGCGCGTAACTCGCCCGCTACCTACGGCCACCGTCCTCCAGGTGTCCGGCTGTCAATAATCGAACGGTGTCATTAATTACGGACCAATTATAATTCGTGAGCGGCCACGGAACCGTGTACCCTGATGTTATCTGTCGCGCCTCCGCTCGTTAACACATCCGTCGTCGCTTCGAGGAATCGTGTTAAATCGATTAATCCCTAACCGACACGCCACATTCGTTACCGATAAAGACGGGCACCAGGTCCCCGACCAGATACGGACCAACGATATCGAAGGCAATAAGGCCCCGTTTTGGACTTTCAAAATTACACACTATTCCAATAAAATATAGGAGAGGGTTGGCGATAACTGGACCAGGACTGTCTCATAACGTGTCAAACGAAGAATATTTAAGAACACGTTTTAAATAAATTTGATACATCCCTAATATCACCGATAACCAAGCATCGTTCTATTTTCATCCCGGCGAACGTTTCGTAAACATGAAAGTGTTCAGTTTCCAGAAAACGAGGGTGCATGTAAAAACCTTGAACCATCGATCGATCCAAAGGCCATAGGTCGCATTCATCTACCCCGACGATGCTCCATGGGCGCAAAGAGTATCAAAACCGAGCTAAAATCGATAGAAGCGTAGGGCAATGTGCTTAAACCGTAATCTCATTCGTACGCCTGCGCTCGAACAGAAGGCAAGAAAGAAAAAAGAAATGAAAGAAGAAGGAGGCACGCACCACTAATTCACTTAGCTCGGCTACGTTTCTTGAGCCAGTTCATACGACGATGATTATGCGGTCGGTTGATCCGGTGCTAAACACGCTAACCGACAGAGTGACGACGATAAATGGTCCCTGCTGCTTCGACTTTGTCGTCCATTAGAGCTTTGTATCCAGCCTCCTATGTAAACGGAACAGGGTGGCTACGAAATTGATGCTAAACGAAGAGCAAACGAATCTCGGATGAGACAAGAAGCATAGCGATGTTTGATCAATTTGCCTCCGACGTAGGTAATCGGGGAGATATGAAAATTTACAAATCACGGTTCGTTTTATCTTTACACGTGCTTGGTACATTTACTTGAGATCTAAAGGTAATTAGAAGTTGTTAGATACTCGGTGGTCTAATGGTTAACGCTTCGCGGCCGAGATGCGTGGAAGATACCGCGAGAAACTTTCAAGCTCAATTCGGTTCGCTTAAAATTTCAAGCGATTTCTCTGCGATGTATCACCTGCCAGTTACACTCCACTCGAGACGTTCCTTCCAGATCGATCTTGCGAAAAAGAGCTGTGCAAGCGAGACATCGTCTGACGAATCGCGTCGAGTACTCGTTCGACGCCGATTCCACCGACAATGCGAGCGTGGTTGTCCACGTGGAAGAGTTAGCCGGTGATAATCTCATTGAAAGAGGGAGTTAAGCGACCACGGGCTTCCTGCCAATTCATCGAGCCAAGTGTCGCCTTAGAGCGGTGAATGCCGCCACGAAATTGCTCGGTGGCTTCGTTCAATGAAACCTACTAGCATTTCACTGAAGGATTTGCCTAGATAACCACCGACGGGATAGGCGTGCCAAGTTAGCTGGACCATTGTACTTTGCAACAAGTTCATGAATGGAGAACCGTGCCCCCAGCGCCGGAGGCTGTGACCCACCGCCAATAGATCGGAAACGGTCAGGCAAAGGGTTTAGAGAGCTGGCTTTGAATCGTGCAAGAGTGGACAATCGAACGAGGTGGGCAGAATTGTTCCGCGGACAACTTTCCTGGAACTTCCTGCTTCCTGGGAAACGACGATCGACTCTGACCGCTTAGAAACGTGACTCTCAGAATGGAGAAACGTTCAACGATGCCTCGTTCAATGGGTTTGAGTTTGTAATGGTGGCTTTCAGCTTCTGAATTTGTTGCTGTTATTGGAGTGTCCCATATTCTAAAATTAAAAAATTCGAAAGTTCCATAGTTCCAAAATTCCATCATGGGCAGGAATTAATTGCATTCATGCTGCCTCGAATATTTAGGAGCAAATGAGAATTTATAAATTTTCAAGCTCCAAGTTTCTCACGTTTTAAAATTAAGAAATTCGAAAGTTCCACAATTCCAAAATTCCATCATGGACAGGAATAGCAATAGCATTAATGCTACCTCGAGTGTTTAAGGGCAATTGAGAATTTCAAAATTTTCAAGCCCTCCAAGTTTCTCACGTTTCATAGAATTTCGAAATTCTCATCTAACGATTCGTGAAAATTTGGTTTCTCAATCTCTTCAGAGACCGCCGCCCAGCTCTCTTTTCTCGCGTATCGTTCACCCGGAAAGCGGTTTAACGAAAGGATACACCGTCTCTTTTCGCACCTATCCCGGCCGCGTTCAACGCTCTCGAAAGGGCACAATAAAACGATTTATCCCATAAAGAGGACGGTCTTCTTGTGATCCGAGTTACGCGGGACCCATTAAAAGTCTCTCTTCCCCTTTAACGCCTTCTGCCTTTCTACTTTTATCGTCCTCGGCCATCCGTGTTGCTCGTTCGACCGAGCATCGTTTGCACGCGTCTGCTGCCAGCAAATTAGCCAGCTGCTGTGCCAAGCAAAGCTTTAGATTATGATACACAGTGCTCTGGTGATGGTGCACGTAGAAGGTGTACGCAAACATCTGGCGACCTCCTATCGTCGCTGATCCTTCGTTAAAAGGAAAGGATTTCCGCGATGACCCACTGAGTTCGTCGAAAATCTGGAGAAGTTTAAATATTTATAGGCGACGATTCCGTGAGATTATCTGCAAGATTTTCACACCTTGTCAAGATTTTTCTCAAAAGTTTCACCCCCTACTTTCATTTTCCACGATCGACGAATAGTGTTCCTCATTAACAGGTTCGTTCTGTCGCGTCCAGGCGGAATTCAGCGAAGCTGGAAGCAAACAGGAAGCCAGCTCGTGAATTTCGCGCGTAATGACCGCCTGCTGCGAGCATTTTTTGCTCGGTCAACAGACTCCTCTTTTAAGTAGGTGCCGCTTAATCAAGCGTAATCGCGCGTGCTGAGGTACGGGTCCCCGAAAAAACGAACGCGGCTGACGAAGCTGGGTAATTAGCCGCACCGGATAGAAATGCCGTCACTTTCAGTTTGATAATGAGGCGAGAATGTAAAGCAAGAGGCTGGCTACCTTCTCATATGCATACGGAATCGATAAACACGCCGATATTATGCCCGCTGTTAAAGTTCGGCTCGGGGCTCATTAAGTACGACATAAAATCCCGATTTTAATGGGATCGTCGCGTTGAATCAAGTCAACCTTGTTGCATGGGAACGCGTGCTCAGCTTGTTCCTTAGCGAAATTGTCGATTCCCTTCGACAAATCGTGGGTAATTTCGGGAACACGTGCTCTCGACGATCCTTGCACATGTTCCAGAGATCTGATAATTAATTTTCGAAAGAAAAACATCCTTGTTTTAAATATTCATTGATTCGTTGTAACTTTGCTCGGAACGAAGTTTTGATTTCAATTTTATGTACCACGTAAAATTCTGTGACACGTTGAATACCACGGGCAAATCCCATAAAAACAGATACATTCGGAAAGGCATAAAAAGCACGTAAAAAACGTTGGCCTTTAAATTACCTCGGTCGCTTAATGAAAATAATGAAAGGGAAGGTAATTAGCGGACACGCGCGTGAAACTTTCTTCCTCAGCATCCTTTCACGTCGAAGGATCGTAAAACCCTTGGTTAGGTGAATCTAGAGCAGGTTCGAGGAGCGGGGGCGAAAGAAATTGCCGGACGTTTTTAGTCCCTCGACGCAGATTTATCGAGGCGTCGCCATATATGGGGTTCGCACCTTGCCGGATCGGCGTCGTCCTATAAATGGCAGATTTCGCGGCTTCCCGGCATCCGTTTATGGCGTCGGGACAGCGGAACGATTACGCGCCGTACGTGGTTTAAGTGAATCCAAGGCGAAGGTTTTACCTTCGATTTCGCGCTGCTTACCAGCATTGGTGTACTGCGACCGACCGAATTATCGACGGTTTAATCTTGGATACGGTTTTAATAATTGAGCGATTTCTCCCGTTAGCCTTTTGTTCCGCGTTCAATTTATGGACGGTATACGTGAAAGTCAATTCCACGCTTGGAGTTGAACAGAAACGATTATTTGCATTTACCATTTTTAATTTATGTCATTCATTTGCAGAATCCTTTATTT